ACCAATTTGAATAAACTTTTTTTTATTTTTTGTAAATCTCAATAGAATCTACAAATTAAACAAATTTTCATTCAAATTGGATAACTAGATGGCTGGCAAATTTAATTTTTATTTACAAAATCAACATAGCCTCGGAGGGTTATTTTGATAGCAAAGATCCCAATTTATATGTAAGTTTGAGGTTATGCATAAGGCTATCTAAATATAAAAAAAATTTATCTGTAACTTTTATTGGAAATTTTATCAGGTGTTACTTTTGCTGATGACTGTACACTAATAGTCTGTCGCTACGTTCCAGACAGTACAAAAGTTCTGGTCATGTGACGATCTGCAATAAATTAGCCAATAACTATTTTCAATTTGGTGTAACGTAAAACGATCAGGAAAATTCAAACCAAACCGTTCGCTCTAAAGAAAATTAGAAATCGCTCTGCGCACTAACAAAAAATGCCGGGGAGGTAATTTTCCTATAGCACTCTCTAACCCTAACCCTGATTCAAACCCAACCCTAATCTAAGTAAGTTTAAAGATTTTTATCGTGACCCGAACTTCGGACACTCATAAATAGATTTTTTATCGGAGTCAACAGGTTACCAGTTTTGACGGGTGAGCTGTATGTACCCCAGTAGAGATGGGTTCGACTACGAACTGCTACGATTATTCATAGCCAATTTGCTAAATACTGAGATGATTTTTTGTTCTTGAGCTTTAATTGAAGTTGTTCAGAATTTATAAGTTGAAAGAACGATACCTTCTCTGGAACTCAGAATTTTAAGATGTTAACGTCATAGCCGGCTACTAGCCGCCGGTTAATAGTCGGCTATGACGTTAATAAATCTTAAAATTCCGAGTTCCAGAGAAGGCTATACCTATAAGATGGGATGAGCAGAATTTAATTCTGAACTTTAATTAAAAGCTCAAGAACAAAAAATCATCTAGTATTTAGTAAATTGGCTATGAATAATCGTAGCCTATACCCAGAAGATTTACCGTCATATGATTTGATACCAAAATGATGATGCACATACGTACGTAAACAGCCGTTATTTTCTAAATATGGGGAACAATAAGAAAAAATACGGTATACCGATACAATTATAGAAATGAGATCCGAAATACGTATATGCACGGTACGTCCGTACGCATGTACGGTGCAGGAAATTTTAAAAACCTCAACGTCAATATTTTATGTGAGATGATGCATGCAAAAAAACAATATGTACGCAAATAGCATGCTATATATTTAAATGGCAAATTTAGGATATCTTCAATGTAGTTAACCTTTATTCTATATAAAGTGATTGAAGTTTTTAGGTTTACTGCACCGTACGTACAAAAGTAACACTGCATCGTATTTAATCATTTTTATGACTGAACTATCAAACTATATATAACGATATTAAAAATTAGATTTCAAGCTTACCCAGCCCATAAAAATTGATCAATAAGCATTTGGAAATACGTACCACGCCATAGCGGAAGACACCGAAAAATACAGAACTCATTGAGCGGGTATACATTATCACTGTTTTAGTGCGATAATTAGCTTAAAATTCCATAATAATTATGCCGAGGGGGGGAGGGATTAAAAAACATATATATGTCATAAGGTATTGATCAATCTCACTAGTCACTTTAATTACATGATTAATATTTTCCTTGGCTTGATTAATTTCTGCCAAGAGACGAGATGACATTAACCAACCATTCAGCCTAATGAATTATATAATACACCAATAACAATTATCAGCTCCTAGATTTAGGTTGCTTGTTTTCCATTTAAATAAATCAGATTTTCGCTAATTTAATACCTTAAGTTTATGAAAATACGATATTTTTATCGCTATTAATAGGTAAGCTGTCAAACTTTTCATTTTTACAAAATTCTCAATAGAAATGGTTCGAAGCAAACCAAAAATTAGAGTTCTACCTTACTTAACACAATAAAAGTTAACAAATGAAAGCGTGAAAGAAAAAAAGCAAACGATTTATAAAAACAATTTTTTTTAATCTGATATTATCATTAATAACTGAAGTTATCCCTTAAACGATAGACCTTTCCAGGCAAATCTTACTTGCAAAAATAATTACATCCGTTAAAGTGACAAATTGGTGCACCAACCTGTTACACATTTTCAATGCTTTAATTGATAATTACTGTCAAAATTAAAATTACATTCATTCAAATAAAATGGAGCTTATTCTAACTATTTACCCGTCAGCAGTGTTAAAAATTCTGCACAAATATGCTGTGCAAAAAATTTTTTTATACAAGAATGCTATTTTATTTTATTTTATTTTTTGTACAGTAATTGTTAATTTTTGTGCAGAAAACAGTGAATTTTTAACACTACCCGTCAATAGCTAACACTGCAGATTCGGATAAACCGAATAATTTAATTGACACTTTCGGCCGTGGATGATCCTTTTTTTATTATTTCAATAACAACTTGTAACACATAATTATAATTATTACCAAATAACCGGATAATCTGAAATTAATCCCGACGTAGCCTGTAAGATAAGATAATATAAAGAACAACGATAAAAAATTTGTTAATCTGCCAATTATATTTTATCTTAATAACATTGTTTACAATTTTTTTTTGTCAATTAATAAATATTTATAGTGTAACGTTCAATTTTTTTGGCAAAGGTAAAATCCCCGATAGTACGTATGCAAACTAGAGTTGTGACCCGAAACCCGAAACCCGAAACCTTTCCGAAACCTTTCCGAAACCTTCAGATTAGAATGTTAATAACTAATGCACATTTACTATAAAGTAATCAAAACATTTCTGAAATGCAATCTAACTATCATGTACTTTATGCCTTAAAGTCTAAAATTAAAATTCTAACCC